GGCTAAGCGTGCGCCGAAAATTGGATTGCTTAGCGTCGATTTCGAGCGAGACGTTCACATTGTGGCTGTCTCTGCGAGACTGCAAAGAGCTGCGGCGGCACGAAAGGCTGCCTCCGTTGACGGCGGTGACGCCGCGAAGCTGCCGCTGCTGTTTGGTCGAACGCTGCGGCGCCAGGTCGGGCGGCGGGCCCGGCCGCGCGGCCGAGGGCGGGGAAGGCGGGCCGACCTGGGCGCGGTGGCCTCTGCTAAACGGGCCCATCCATCACGGGGCCCGCGACACGGGCGCCCAGGGCGGCGCATTACTCGGCGCCGGGCCACGGCGGCCATCCGCCCTAGATCGGCACACTCCCGAGCGCAGATCGCAGGCCGCAGCGCGCTGTCCGGCCAGCGGAGGCGGTCTCTGAACAGCAGCTACGGACCCAGTCTTCAGCCAACTTGCCAGGAGTGTCAGCCCGATGGCGGCCGGCAGACGCAGACAAAGCCTGCAGTCCTCCTCCCAGCGACGCCAAACCAGCGCAGCCCCGGCGCACGCTCCTTGTCCTTCAGCACGGTGGGCGGTGGACGACCAGATCCGGACCGATGATGTCATGTTCAGGCCACTAACCCAAGTCAAAATCGAGAACACGACGGCAGAGCAACTATCGGGCACCACGCGGCACGGAAGGCGGGCGCCAGGTTGACTGACAGAGGACCAAGAGCCCAGTACGTGCGTCACCAGCGCGGACGAGCCAAGGTGACCTGGCTTTGAGTGAGTGCTGATGCGCTGCATCAATGTCAAGTCGCTTGCCTCTCAGCACCGGCGACAAAGTTTCACCGCCGTGACTCTGGTGCGGATACGAGTTCAAAACGCTTAGTCCTCTGACGCTGATATGCATCCTCGCCCGCAAGGTTTCGCGATGCCGGAGAGTAGCATACAACTCTTGGCGTCCCTCCGTTGCAGGTGCGTGCGACTGATGTTCGTGGTATCTTGCCAATGTAGATATGAAACCCACACGCTGGTGTCGCAGGACTGCAGCGCACCACATCTGACTTCGGAATGTCCGAGCTGCGCGTGAACAGATCCGCGCGCGTCGCTGAATGCCTGAAACCGCCGGCGAGTACCGCGGCCTGGACCTGATCGTAATTAATTCGGAGCGCCGAGGCAGATAACCTCACCCCTGAACATACTGCTGGAAAAGGCAAGCCTACGGCCCATGTATCAAGGCAAGCTACGTGCTCGGCGTCAGCCAGACCCGACCCTCCGTGACGAGGTAGAAGGTGCGCTCACCTCCTCAAACTTCTGGCAGACCAGCGTGAACGCCTTGAAGATGGCGTCCGTCGCTCCAGTGACAGTGACGATACGTTCTGGGCAGGAGCCATCTGAAATGTTGATCTTCGCGCCGCTCTGAAAAGACACGACAGAGATCACGGTAAGCTGGTGGACGCCCCAACAGCTTCTTGTGTAGATGGAGTGAGGCTTTGATAAATGGCAAACACAGACAACAATGCGGCCCGGGGGGGGGGGGGGGGCACGGGCACGGCTCAAACAGAGCATCTCGACGTTCTTTTTGCAGTGGGACAGCTGGAGCCTGTGAGAGGGCGCTCGCCGCCGAGCTCACCTGTTTCATCAAATAACTGAACAGGGACAGCAGGGGGCCAAGACTAAGCCTTGACTACGCATCCGAGGAAACAGCGACAGTACCATCCGGCCCATGTTCAGTGCTCGTGATGTGCACTGTGAAAGCCATGTGAGCGGCACACAGTCAACGTTCAGTCGCAATGAATACGCCGGTCTTGTGAAGTGTGTGATAATTGGAGATCAAATGTTTGGTAGATCTTGTCAAACAAAACATAGGTCTAAGGTTGGTTCGGCAAGACTCGCGCTGTGACGGGAGGATTTCACTGTTAGGTCGCGTGGGGCGCCAGGAGGATCCAGCAACGAATATGAAAACTGGAGTTTTACCAGGACATTAAAATCAGTGATGAGCCCGGTTGAAAAAAAAAATCGGCAAAATATGCTTTCAAGCGTCACTTTCACACGTCATAGGGACGGTGGCAGAATGTATTGCCTCGGCAGTTTGTAGGGAACGCGGGTTAAAGGCTCTGGCTGTCCTGCTGCGAGCGCATTTTGCGCGGGGTCGTGTTTATTGTCAATTCAAAGTGCCATTAGGGGAGAGCAGATGGAGGCCAGTATCCTGGCTGGCTGGGAACAGCAGGCGACCGGTAGCGTTCTGCGCTGCGGAGCCCTGGACCATGGGCTGCCGGGCAGACTGCGCCGCAGGGAGGGGGGCGGGGAGTCTCCGCCCTGACCGCGTGCCGCCGGCAGCGGGTCCCGACGTGTCGCGGTGGGTCCTGACCCCTGTTGCAGTCCGAGGCGGTGGCCGCTGCCGCCACCGCAGCTGTTGCTGTTGGCAGCGGCGGCCGCGCGGGGCCGTGACGCTGGGCAATAAATCGCCGCGTCACCTGGCCGGCGGCGCGGCGACACGAGGACGCGCCTGCCGCGTCGCCGCCGCTTCCGCCGCGCTGACACCTGACCCGCTCCCCCGGGGCCGCGGCCGGCCCCACCCCCAGAGCCGGCCGTCCGCTGGCGAGCAGCTGCCCGGAGCAGGTCCGTCCTCCCCCGGGGGGACGGGGTGCAGCCGTCTGGAGCTGGCCCGTTCCCCAGAGTGCTGCCGTTCCCATCCCCAAGAGGTATCTCAGGCGCATAGACATGAACTCATCACTTTTAGCGCGGTGACAATATTGTTTAACACCTTCAGCACGTTTGCCATTTAACTTCTGTGTAAATTTGGAAAGAAAACATGCTCATGTTTCTTTAATTTACAAACGAGTCTCACGAATTGCGTCCTTAAAGTTTCGCAACAGCAATTTATAAAACGCTAGACATTGCGGGTTCGTCTATTCATGATATTTTGAAACGCTCTGCCCTACGATCTCGTAAATACCCGACTCCAGTTTCTCACCGACGCTCATTACCAGACTACGTGGCTTGGACCTTATGTTCGGCCACCCAGCGTCAGGTTTGATATTCTAGCCCAGGAAGTATCAGAATGGATAGCTAATCTTGGCCGCTGCTTAAGTTTGGCGCCACTCTTACGTCACATGGCGCTCTCGATTTCTGGTGGGCCATTACAACGAACAGATAAATCAGCGCACTGCACCGCGTCCATCAGCTGTGCTTCAACAAGGAATTCCCGGGATGAAATGAACTCCGTTTCGGACAGAAATAAAACAAGCTCGCGATTTATGTATACTATATGGGCTAACTGACCGGGAAAGATATGACAATATGATTTAGCTTCGTTACGTCCTGACGGTCCACTGAATACGGAACTCGCCTACTGAGACGCTCGGTACTACATTGCATATGTGCTAAATCAAGTGGATAATGGTCGAGCTCATTGCCCTTCCGTACGGTGTGACAATGTCTCCAGCTGTTTGAGACGTTTTACGCATATCGACGAATGACCAGCGATCGCTATTGGAGAGAAGCTGGGAGTGGTCGCTCAGGCATAAATCCCCGTCACGATGAGTGTAATAGCTGTCTTGTGATTGGACATAGTTTTGCCAAATGAGCTGCAGGGGAGGGCTGAATAGTGAAAAATGATCCAAACTGCGCCCAAAATATGCCAACAAATAGGGTTCTTCCTGGATTTTACCCATCTTTTGCCCAAAAATGGGGGGGGGGGGGGGCTGAAGCCGAAGCTGGGAGTAGGGCTTCAGCACTATTCCCAGGGCCCCCATCTGAATAGGGAACTGCACCCCTGTATACGTATAAGGCACACTGGTCTCGCTCTGCGTACTTGCGTACAGATCAACACATCCTGTGAATTTCGTGCTTTTTGCTTTCTTCGTTTTTGAGATCACAAGGGGTCAAATTGACGCCCACCCGGGCGAAGGGTATCCATCCGGCCACCCAGGCGCGTGTTAAAAAAATGGCCGGTGGTTCCGTTTCTCTTCGTTACCGTCCTCTTTCCTAGATCGGCATTTCTTAGATTTCGGGTATGTAATGACTGAGTTGAAGAAAATGTAGAGTTGGCCCACGTTCTGCAAAAATTTAAGGTGATAGCAGATTATATTACCTAATCATTTGATCGCTTACTCAGTCGGAACACTTCTGTTCACCCAACCTTTGTGTACCGCCATAGAAGCAGCCTAGGGGCATGGGACACCCTCAACCCTTTGGCCCGCGTTTTTTCTATTTTTTTTTCGGCATAGCTGGCTTCTGACAGAAAGTGAAAAAGCCACCTGATGCGTTCACACTAGGCTCCAGGCCCCACTTCCGAAACCCCTGACTGCACCCCTCATTGTGCATCCCCAATTTTGGCGAATACCATTCCAGGGCGAGGGCGAGAGGGCGAGAGGGCGCCCTTCTCTCGAAACATTCACCGGAAAACCAATGAAGCACATCACATTGCGCGGATTTTCTGGCCTGGTGTAAAACAACATCGCATGTTTTCTATCTCTTAAAGGGGATTTTTCACTTTCAACGATATTGAAGCAGGCATAAGGTACGATGAAACAAGCTCGCTTATACCTATTAATATGTTTTTGAAGTTGAGAATACTGCTCTAGACAGCACAATCATCTGTTAACTAAAAATTTCCTTAATGCGTCATGGTTTGATTATGTCATCGCACCTTGCACAACACCGATTGAGAGCCAGTTGACGGCCGTTTTATCTGGAGATCATCCTCTCGGACGCAAGATATGAGCGCCTCGACAATTATATATTTTTGTTGGCCTGGATTACCGCACGGCTTAGGGAACGGCAGAATTTGAATGATATTATTATAGCGTCATGAATGGCAGGATGACTTTGAAATACTCTACCCGATATACCTTTTCCCATTTTCGCGGGCGTGTAGCTGAGAAACTACAGGATTTTAAGTCTTAAAAAGGGCAGAATGATGAGCAGCTCCGAAAAGGCTTTAAGATGGCTATTTTAGTTCAAAAACCCCCTATAAATGTGTGACACTCCTGTATGTTTCACATGTGCACCTTGCATTGTTTATTGTCAGCGTTTATTCGTGCACACGTAATTGGAATAATACAATAAATTTTAAAGGGGGAGTTCGTGAGCCCAGAGACAATTATGTGGCCACGCCCCATAGCCTCTGGTTCTTTCTTCCTCACCCGGCAGCGCGGCGGGGAGTCTATTCCGCGGCTGGTGCATCCCGGGAGAGCCTACCTCGCAGGCAGTGCAAGGCGGGAGAGTCTACTCCACAGGCTGTGACGTGCAGACCATCGTGCCTTCAAAGACCATTGGGCCATACTGCCGCGTTCGCGGTCGGCGGGAGTGTCTACCCCACAGGCTGTGACGTGCAGACCATCGTGCGGTCAAAAAGACCATTGGGCCCTTCTGCCGCGGTCGCGGTGGCTCAATTTGTGGAGGGTCCTCTGTCTTCTGTCAAGCGGACCCTGGCGCGCCAAAGTTCGCCTGATGACAAAGCAGCGGACGAGGAGGGCGCTGCTGCATGCCAAACCGCGCCGGCTGTCCGCGCGACCCGGCTGAATGCGGCGTCGGATCAAAATCACCGGCGTCCCGCTCTCAAACGACCAACTAAAGATGCCTATTCAACCTCTCGAACTGTGAGCCAAGCGGAGAATCGATATTGGCTGCGCTTTCAGCGTGGCATCGCCCTCGGAGACAAGCTCGTTCTCTCCTCCCCACCTGCCGCCACCGGCCCGTGCACTCATGTGCGGAGGCTGCTCAATTCAGACGCGCGGCGATCAATACTTCAGCAGTCAACTAAACAAGCAAAATATCACTGGAGCGGCTGACAGACGGCATTGGAGACTCGCGATCTCGGGCATTTCGCTGAAGTCGGCCGAACTTTAAAAACTGATTTACTGAGCTGGAGCCCGCTAAGGCGAAAGGAAATGAGGTAGTATTGCCAGAGATCAACTTGATACCATTCAAATAGAAATATGCCTGTATAGGCCCTGCCGGCGCACCTTTGAATATCGGAGAGCTTCGATCGAGTGATAACCGCCACCTCATCAGCTGTGAAAATGAGTCTGCAGCTTCGGCAGTCGAGCGACGGGCCGAGTGCCGGGAGCGACAGAGCAGAGGGGCAGGAGAGAGGGTCGCTGGTCGGCTGACCAGGCCGCCGCTGCCGGCGACACGCCGTCTGGGTCGTTGGTGGGCCTCCCGGCCGCCCGGCCGCCACCGGCGCGGATAAGCCGCCAGTCAATACAGACCCGGCGGCCGGGCCACCGTCTGGCGCGCCCGACCGGGGGAGCGGCAGACAGCGAGGCGCCAGGCTGGGGGAGCGGCAGACAGCGTGGCGCCCGGCCGGAGAGCGGCAGACAGCGAGGCGCCAGGCTGGGGGAGCGGCAGACAGCGTGGCGCCTGGCCGGAGAGCGGCAGACAGCGAGGCGCCAGGCTGGAGGGGTGGCAGA